CTTTGGATTATATTCGGAAAATAAATACATACTAGATTAGTAAATACGGTAAATTAATTCAAGAGCGACGCCGGTTTTCGTTTCAGACTATAAGCGCTGCTTTTTCTAAATGGGCTATGCAAATGGCTGCCTTTAGTTATAAGTGGGACGTCTTTTTCTTTCAGCATTAGTTAATCTCGCGGATGTCAGTAATTTGGCCAGCGCCGTCCAGGTGCTAATGTCTCTGACTAATTAAATAAGCCCGAACAATCCGAGCTTTTTCAACCGACGCTGCAGTGCCATTTAGTGCTTTTACGAATATTTAGCGCCCTTTTTCTTTTGTTAAAAGGTTTCGTCTGAGATTTTGTGCGGGTTGATTAAATAATGGAGACTGCGAAAGAATTTTAAACTTGCAATCCTTTGTTAGTTTGTTACATTTTACAGTCGGTAAAATAAGTTCAGTTCAGAGGGCTGAGTAAGTTTATATCAAACACGCTCACATGAAAATTTTAGTGCTTGATAGTTTCCGCTAGGGGCGTTGTACAATCCGTCATACATTTAAATGTCATTTTTATACGCGCTCACTAGTGAACGTGTTTGATGTAAACTCACACTCAGCCCTCAGGTCAAAAGGTGGTTATACAAATGAGGAAAAGGAGAAATACAATAGAGCAATGGTAAATGGTAAAATCAGACAAATTCCAGATTACGTCCTGGCATCAATAAATGTGCGGAAGAAGTGTTTCAGACTATTATGGGCGAAATTGAAATTACGGAAGTTGAACCAACAATTCCATCAAACAAACTAGGCACTAAGCGCACCCTGGAAATAGCGGAGAATAGGGGCGTCAACTCCCAACAAATGTGAACCATGAAGTTTCATAATATTCAAAAATTAGAGCACTATAGTCAGTAGGTACTAACAGAAAAGATTAACAGTTTGAACAACAAAGCTTAAAACGTTTATGCTTAGAATTCATTCAGCCCATACTTTATATGCTCTAGATTCTGTTATCCCATCGAAAATCTTGGTCATTTATGTAACGGGTTCGTAAAAATATGATATTATGAGTAGTACTTACTCTGTGCATGTGCGATAGCACTGATAGTGAAGAAGCAACTAAATTTTTTGTCACATACTGGCAACCCTACCGAAGCAAGTCCGGCGCAGTGCCACGGTGCAAGTTACGCGCCGGCAATTCCGCAAAAAGCCCGACTTAGTAAGTGAAGGCAGCCTCCGAGCAGCGCACCCGCTGAATCGTAAAATATGGAGGTACCAACCATGAAAAGCAAACTCACTTTATATCTCGCTCGAGGACACAGGCCACCTCTATCTAATAAAACATACTGCAGATACGACAAGATTTAGCAGGAAATTCGAGTATAATTTTCGTTCTTAGTGAGTTCGTTTGTTCGTTTCAGCCAAATGACGTCCACTGCTGGACAAAGGCCTCCTCCAAGGTTTTTTACAATGCACGGTCCTGCGCTGCCCGTATCCAGGCTCTTCCCGCGACCTTTACCCGATCGTCGGTCCACCTAGTAGTGTCTTAGTGAGTAACGTGTCCAAAATATCGTCATATTAAATTAATATCTAGTCATATTAAAATAATAACTAGTTTTATGCAGAAATACCTACATAAAGAAATACCGTAATTTTGAATGTTTTTTAAATAGACATTCTGCCAAATGATTAATAAACCTTGTCCACCGTTATTCAAATTTTTTTATGCATAACAAGGCAGGTATTTCCAGTCCCTAGCTGTTCGCATTTACAATTAATTGATACAAACTTGAGGCAGTACCTAGTCATCCAATGGGAATGATGGTCAGACACATCTTTTGGTCGCTCCTAATTAGGTATTTGCCCAAAAGTAACATTCGATTGCGCCGCAATACAAACCCACCGGCCATTAGCAGTGCAAACATGAATTAAGCTATTCACTGGGAGGCGCAACCGCTCGTGAAAGCACGAGGCTTAGAGCCGCTATCTGTGCAGGTAGCAGAGTTATTAGAGACCAGAGCAGAGCTCCTCAACCTTTCCATACTCTCCACTTAGCACGCAACAAAGACAAGTAAGTTTCTTCATATTCTCAGTTACCTACTCAAATGATCATACTTTTATGCTCTACCAAAACAATTTGCCCCAACAGATTTTGTGACTGATTTTATGACTTCACTTGTTTACCAACTCAAGTTCATTGAAAAGGAATTGAGTTGTTTTGACAACTGAAATAAAGTTTTTATAGATTCCTACTAAGTGACTAGAGTTACATATAAGCTTATTGGTTTCAACTACACAGGTACATACCTCCACTCCGAAGCTTCGCCGCGAAACATGACAACGAAACATTTTCATGTCTGCGTTCGATCTAATAAACGTAAGTAGGGATTCTAATACAGAAATGTACGTGCTAACTGATTTCGCGGTGGTTCGAATCGGGCTTAAGCATCTGGCTATCACTGCAAATATGAAACTAATAAGTTTGAGTGCCACATTGATGGGACCGAAGGTTGCGTGGCCAGGTGTCCTGCACCGCGATTAATCTGTCCACAAACAATAACCCCACATCGGTGCGAGCGGGGCTGCCAGCCGCATTCGTTCGATCGTAAATCGGGCTTGCAATGGAAATTTGTTCCATAAGGGATGTTTGCAGCGCAGTTATCAGATTATAGAATCGGCTATTAATTTTTGGTGCTCGGAACGCGAAGATAAGTTAATGCTAGGATCACTAGGATGGATCAGTGCCATCTTGTGTAGGGTACATATTAATAAAATGAATAGGTAATAAACATGTGCAGCTAAAGTCAAATGTTATAATATTCTCGATCGTATTAACTTTAAACGCGTGCACCTAAATAAAATATCAACTAAGTGTAGGAGGAATGTATCCTACGTATTGGAAGGAAATTAAATTGTAATTTATAAAATACTAGCTGACCCGGCGAACTTTGTTCCGCCTTAATGGCAATAAATAACGGGATAAAAAGTATCCTATGTCCTTCTCCTGGCTCTAAACTACCTCCCTGACAATTTTCAGCTAAATCGGTTCAGCCGTTCTTGAGTTATAAGCGAAGTAACTAACACGACTTTCTTTTATATATATAGATAGATTAAGCAAAAATTTCCAATAATTGCCAATTATGAACGTCAAAAGAACTAACATTGAGAGACGCGAAAAAGATTTTCCTACACACGTACCTTGAAGGTATTTTCATTTATAATACTGTGTGTGTACCGTCTATGTAATAAAAATAATAATACAGTTTTCCCCACCCTACTTCACATCATAGGCTGCTTAGTCAAATTCTCGCCGCAAAATACTTGGTTGGCGACATAACTTGAAAATTAGGACCTAAGTTTGTCTCACGGTCTCAATATTGCCAAACAACGGTCCGGGATACATACTAACGATCTACACGTGTCTATTATGTTTCATGTCGTTGTTATGAGCAAAACTTCTTAATTCCAGGTGTATAAAGTCCAACTTGCAATGGCAAGTCGGTTATTAAGGACCCGACATGTTATTAGCGACATTAGCCAAGATGACATCTAAATTATGGGTCAATTCGGAGTTGGCACCGGCGCCGGATGCTGCTGCGGTTCTTATTAACTTTGACCCAAAATGTGTGTATTTTCGGGTCAAAGTTAATAAGAAATATACTTATAACCTCGGTTTGAGACAGAGTTCGTAGTTATTATGTTAAAAATTTTCAATATTCGATAAAAAAGAAAGATAATATATTTATCATTTAACTAAATATTATACGAGTGTGCAAGTTTTTTTTTACTATTGGGAAATATTTTAGGAATTTATAACAGCAGCATATTTTTTAAAAATAATATTAAAGTTTCTAGTCAGCAATCCGCAAAAAATATAAAATATCATAAAACTTTAAATAAAATACTATCATGCTCATTTTAAGCCAGTTTTTGCTTTCTCTGTATAACGCGCCAAATGTTTGACTAGTGAAATCGAATAATTTGAATACTCCAAATGCGATCATCAGGACAAACTCGAAAATTTCACATTCCGCCATGTCAGGGGCGCCCTTAATTTTGCTACAGATCTCAAAGAACAGCCTATTTATTGAGTAAATTTATCATCTGTTTGCTACGGCGATATGCTACACGATTCGTAGCACCTCTCGTAGCTGTCGTCGTAGACTCGTAGTCTCGTAGTCGTTACATGTATTAGGGCTCAATGTTAAATAGAGGTAGAGGGGTACATACTTTTTTTATTTAAATTTTAATTTTGTTAGGATGGAATAGTCAGGCACAATATTCAAAGCCTCAAATATAACGTACCTCAAATACCAGTTTTTGTACGCGAAAGTTGTCTTTTCTCGCCAGACTTTGCCTTCGCTATGGTCTCATTTAATCCGAACTGCTCGCTAATCCCGCATAGCACGGTAACAGTGCAGTAACTGAAACATTTCTCAGATTTATTAACGGGTCCCGCCGTGTCGAGATAATGAATGACGGCGGCGGGGCGGCGCACGCGACGTTATATATCACAAGTTTGGATTACTTTGCATACGGGATTTAACTGAAAATCTTATGCAATGATAAAATTACAACGATACTTAATTTTTTTCTGCAGTTTTTCCCGTGCGAATTTCGGTCTTTCCCAGAATAATATCACTCGGGAAAACGAGTGACGTAGCTTTCCACTGGAGAAAAAATGCATTATTAGGTTAAAAATTATTTGTTTATTAATTTTAATTGGTTATTCATTAGTGACTCATAACTATAGTAAGCAGACTTAAGCAATAATGACTAACGAGTTAAAAACCAATTTATTCACATTTTGATGAGGTAAATAAACACCGTAGAATAAATATTCTGTGCCTCTACCATGAGTTTACCTACCGAGCATCTCGCTATCGAGGGCGTAAAAAAATGTATGGCAAATTGTACAGCGCCTCTAGCGGTTAGTAGCTGAACCACAGCAAAACTAAAAACACTACCATGAGTTCATCTCAAATCGTTAGGTAAAAAACCTATCTATAAATACGATANAGTTGCCTTCTTCTTGCTGTTTAAAGTCACTCCACACCTTAACAAATAAACATTACAAATAATAATGACGAAATAAGATAAAAGCAATCAAAATGAATAAAGTAGTAGGTATTTATACACACTTTTCTCAATTTCTCAGTAGTTTTCGTGTCGCCGGTGGCATCAGCATTTCACGTTCGCGTGTCCGTTAGTTTTTGTACTCCGTTACTTGTATTCGTATACTACAGTCGATAGAGTTTAAACGTGGATCGATGAAGTTTGCATTAAAATCATACCATGAGTTCAATTACCGTATACTTTACTCGCCAGCGATAATTCGATGGTTTTGTGATGTCATGTTGGTNGGCGACACGAAAACTACTGAGAAATTGAGAAAAGTGTGTATAAATACCTACTACTTTATTCATTTTGATTGCTTTTATCTTATTTCGTCATTATTATTTGTAATGTTTATTTGTTAAGGTGTGGAGTGACTTTAAGCAGCAAGAAGAAGGCAACTCGCATACACAGAGCTGCCAAGGGAACACTGGACTGGTGGCGGTCCAGGTTCTTCCCTGAAGCCAAAGGATTTAGAGCAGAGTGCTTGTAAATAACTACTTGTAAATTAAATCCATAATAAAGACCTAGGGTAACTGGATGGATATACCTACCTTATTATTGTAAAACTTAAGATATTATAATATAATTAATTAAATACATTATATTGTTTTAATCTTTCATGGTCACTAAACATACATGGTAGCAATCTCGTCAGTAATAATAATTAAGTAAATAGGTACATATCCTACTTAATATTGAAAGTACGAAAGTTTGGATGTCTGGATGTTTGTTACTCTTTCACGCAAAAACTACTGAACGGATTTTGATTAAACTTTACAGTATTATTATTTATAACCCAGATTAACATATAGGCTATAATTATGACGATCTGTGACAAACTAAATTTCACGCGGACGAAGCCGCGGGAAAAAGCTAGTTGAAAATAAAATGATTAATTTTTATTGACTATTTATTTCACAAAACCTAATCTATACTAATATTATAAAGCTGAAGAGTTTGTTTGTTTGTTTGTTTGTTTGGTTGAACGCGCTAATCTCAGGAACTACTGGACCGATTTGAAAAATTATTTTTGTGTTGGATAGCCCGTTAGTTCCTGAAGGCTTTAGGCTATTTATCATCACGCTAAGACCAATAGGAGCGGAGCACCAATCAAGAATATTTCAAATCAGTGAATTTTTTCCTTTTGAGAGCTGACGCTGCGTAAACGGTTAAAGTTTCGCAAAAATCATGTATCACAGAATTGTTCCCCTTTAAAAGTTCTTTAAAAAAGTCCGCGGTAGCATATGTCTATCTTTTATGGTTGGCTCATAGTAACCATTTTTATGCAAAAAAAATCTGTTTTAAAATAATGCATTATTTGCGAAGGTGTTTTTATAAACATGATATTAATCCTTATCCAAATAAATAATCTGGGAAACGCAGCATCCTCTCCCTCCCCCAAGGATCTCCACAATGTGCCCGCATCCAGGTTCTTCCCGCAACCTTCACCAGATCGTCGGTCCACCTAGTGGGAGGTCTGCCCACATGCTGATAACATGTTCCATCGTAATAAACTTCTTTCCGACATAATTTAATAAAGAAAACACATAAAATGACCTAAAACCACAATTTTATTTTGCTTTTCACACGTCAATAAGCCAGTGAGTTACGTTACTGTGACAGCTAAGGTATTTTTCGATGACATCTTTGAAAATTGCAACTCATGGTAAGTTATTTGTATGAAACTTAATAAAAACTTTAGTCGCTATCGTATTCATTTAGATAGGTTTTTTACCTAACGATTTGAGATGAACTCATGGTAGTGTTTTTAGTTTTGCTGTGGTTCAGCTACTAACCGCTTGAGGCGCTGTACAATTTGCCATACATTTTTTTACGCCCTCGATAGCGAGATGCTCGGTAGGTCAACTCATGGTAGAGGCACAGAAGAAAGCAACCTTTGTTCAATTTCCTTCTCTTATTCACGTAAAATAAATCACCAAATTATTTATGAAGTGCAATTATTTCTAATAAGCATTATAGCCTTTAAATGATGATGATCAAGTTGAATGGTACTTATCAAACGTATCGTGAGCGATGTAATTAGAGGGCGATTATTTGGGGCTCAACTGGCTGTCGTCACGCTGACGTCATAGTAAAATGAAATAAAATATACTGAACGAATGTTGACTAATGTCTTTTGTTGTGAGTTATTGGAGTAATAAGGACTCCAAAACTACAAAAATGGAATGTGATTGCAATTAATTTTATTACTTAAATTACCGGTGTCTTATGTTTTATAAAATAAACATGACAGGCAAGCAGGAAGATGCCGTCAGAAAAGATACTGATTGCGTTTATACTTGCTTGCTTCGCTCTTAAATGAAGATGCTTATTGTTTTCTTTTTCTACGTTAATAAATCAAAATGGTTTCCAGGGAGTCCTAGCGACGGAATTTGGAAACAAATCAAATAATACGACCCAACTTATAAATGTATGTCGTACATGAGAACATGTGTAGTACAATACACGGGTACGCTGTAAAAGGAGTAGGTATTCGCCCTTTCGTGCGAAGTCTCGCGTTGTTATATTAAGGTGTGTCCTCACCGAAAGCATACGCGTTTGTCGCTAACGAACCTTACTTAAAGGACGGACGACATAATAGGGCACTGATTTTAGTGCCTAATATGTATATTCAACAGTTCATATCACAGGAGTGAATAGAGCCAATTAGATCTGACAAACCATAATTGGACGTGTGAAATCGCTTTATAAAACCCTATTTACATTCAATATGACTTTTATGACAAATCATAATTATTTTAAGCTACTCGTAGCTAGCTATTGGTAATGTTAATGTTAAATGCTCCAGATGAGGATGCACCTTATACGGCATATTCGCCCATTTGTATGAAGTCGCTTGGGTAATATTAGGCGAGCGAGCAACGCTTTGGAAATTGTATCACAGTAATGAAATACAATGCGGTTTCAATACGTCGAGAACACGTTTAATAATTTCGAGTTTGACAAATGGGTTGAATTTCCACCCGACAATCGATACGGCTTAGTACCAGACCTCACATTGTTTATTTTTGAATAAATGACCGTAATACCAACATGCTTAATTGCTTAAGATTAGCAGTGAATAATCATTTTAGATTCCAAATTATCGTGGAAAAAAATGGAAACATTGCTCATAAAGAAAAAAGATTAACAATTAAAAATAATAGTACGTGAGTACGATGAAACGTATCCTCTTTATCTATTTAAACTACTTGTTATCATCGTAAGAATACGTAAATAAAACAGGAAAATCTTCCTCGAGAGCTTTCCAATAATTAAATACTCGCAGCTACAGTCACTGATGAATAAAAACATGTAATGAACGCTGATAATAACGATAGAAGCTTTACCACGCTTAGTCATGAGTGCGGCATCTATAAAAAGGAACAAGATATTCTTAATAAATTCTAGACAGCGCCGAACAATACAGCCTCGTCGAAGGTGAAGTGACGACGGGACACGTACGTCATTTATATTTATGCATCACTTGTATACGTATTTATTCTTCACGGTCTTCTCATTTATTTTGTTGGCAAGAGACCTTTTTGAATAGGCAATGTGCCGTATAAATTTGCCACCCTCGACCGTAGGCTCTGTTAAAAGGTGCCACGAATTAATTTCACCTGACGTGAAAGACGACTACAGAATACGTTACACCATAATGAGATGACTTTGTAAACTTTGGGCGTTACGAGTGTGCATTTTGTATTCTGCCTAACAAGCACTCGCAGGAGATAGGGGGCGGAATATGCTATACATAACTAATTATTCTTAATGGGGCTTCGGTGGTCAGTCAGTTGGTAGCCAGTCTTAAATCGATACTGAGTAGGTACGTTGTCCAAAAATAACATTATACCTAAGACATTTTTATATCAGCGCTTTGTTTAATCAACCTTTAGGAGTAACCTTTCCATAAATAAAATTAATATTCGCACCTATAGATGGCACCACACATTCTCACCTTCAAAGTGACTGTGGTGTAACATTCAACATTATATTAGGTAGGTACGTATTTATGTGGATAAATACTGTGTACAACACCGTACACGATGTGAGAAATTAAATGTTGATTTGTATCATGGTTGGTTACTGAATTTTGAAATTGAAATGGTATGTTTTTTATTAATGAAATATATTTTAATCAGCTTCATTGTTGTTTTAGTAGCTGTCTGAAATTATTAATGAAATAAGTATTTTAATTGATTATTAGCGTAAGTATATTCAACAATGGAAGTTATTTTAGTTCGAGTGTAGGCAGAATCGTCTTCAAATTATAAATACACCTTGTTTAAAAATCTCTTGAGTTATAATTATAGCACTTTAACAGTAAGAATGAAAGTTTTAACATCAAGCAGTTGGTAGAGCATTTCTTAAGTCGTCGTCGTATGAACTATCAATAGTAATTTTGGTTTAGTGCTGTTAAAAGTGAATTTTGGATTGAATCTACAGATTAAATGGCTACAGTACGACACTGCCTACAAAAGTAACATCGACAATCGAGTGCGCTACATCCCTAGTATTTAAATGTGTCGCTAAGAAACTCATCATGATTCATAGGCGACGTGTCGCGACAATTTATGAATTCTGCCCAAACGCATTCTGAGTCATAAACACAGGAGCCAGGGAAGCCCATTAATTTGACGGCGGGCGTGTGTCAGTTATGTGCCGGTAATAAAAGCCGATGGGTTTGCATAATTTAAGTAATGTACATGACACCACAAACTTTGCACAATGCCCGCACTGTAACAGTTTAAGTTTTAATGTGTTACATCTATTTGTTAAGTTGGTGGAATGCTTGGGTGTTGGTGCAAACAAACGAACATGGTGTAAGGGATAGGAAAAGTCAGTAAAGTCAGACGATAATCCTAAATGTGTTGTTTCCTTGATACATTTATCTATTTCCCTTCTTCCAGGCCTCCCCCAAGGATTTCCATACGATCGGCTCCATATTTTTGTTCCAAAATAGCATCTATTAAAACTACATAAGAAACCTCAGTATCTAGCTTGATAAGAAGGGGCTTTTCACCGTACAACTCACTGGATTATGTTGTTTCAGTGCTCTGTTCATTTTATAGCCTTTTTAGGCTGAGTTGCAC